CTGCTGCCCACCCCTACCACGCTTCTACAAGGAGAAATCCTGAGTGTGTCCCACTGAAAAGCTATTGCAATGTTCACCGCTCACGGGCCAGCTCAGGAAACCTCTGCAGCAGCACTGAGCTCCTGTTGTGACGGTCACCACCCACCCGTGCTTGGCTGCTCTCGTTCTTGATGCCTTAGAAGTACCCAAGAGAGATGGCACCTCGCAGGTCTGGCTGTGTGTTTTCAGGGAGAAAGGTTGACGCTATTTTCCTACCAGCTCTTGTATCACACCCAAGGTAGTCATTTTCGTCCTGCTTCCACACGGTATTTGGGCATCATGCCCAAGCACCCTGTTGGGTCAAAGCCTGTTCTTCTTGCAGCCTTAATCTCTTGCTACGGAGCAGTTACCAGTACCAGTGTCTGTCGTCACGTCCGCTCTAGTCACGCCGTAAAATTTGACAAGGGCTTGACCCCTTGCTCTTTTGTGTCTGTATGAACTTCTCCATTGGATCTGAGCAGCCTTTTGGCTGCCCCCATTCCCAGTCACCCATCCTCCTTCCCCTTCTGGGGAAGATGGCTGTGCCCCATCCTGGAACCTCCAGGGAACAGCATTTGAAGCCACAGATGTGGATGGGCTGCTGTCAGCACTCGCCATGCTGGGGGTGGGAGCTGTACCACATCCCACCCAACAGAGGTGTTTAAGGAGAAGGTGACCAAGCCACAGGTCTTGGGGGTTTGCCAGTGGCCAACGGGCGGGTTTACAGGATCCCTGCCCCCTGTTCTGGGTGGCAGCTCCTGAGAGATGTGTGGGTTCAGCCTCTGCCAACCCACGTGCTGTCTCTTGTAGCAGCACTGGGCTCTTCAGCGGGCCCGAGCAAAGGCTGAGAAGGCAAAATGTCCAGGTGTGCCCATCACCTCTGGGCACTGCTGGCCAGGGGGCTGGAAAGGGGCACAAGTGCTTGTTTTGCTGTAACCCCAAATCCAGCCTTTCCTGGGGGTGCCCTGAGGGAGGTTTTCACATCCCTGAGCTGTCAGGAGGACGAGGCAGAGCAGGACCATCCTGCTCCCACCTCTGGTGAGAGGCACAAAGCCCCTCCGTGCCTGCCTGCCCTCCATGGGGCACATGCCCTGAGGGGCCAAATGCATGGTACAGATGGAGCATAAATACCTCAGACCTTCCAGGCCGACTCTGTAAGATCTCAGCCCCTCCACAAATTCACTCCACATGCTCACAACCCCTCAGTGCGAGGCCCAGTGCTCCAGCATCCTCCACATGGCAGCAAAATCACACCCCAGCAACATGGGATGTTGTAAATCCAGCTTGTAAATGACCTTCACTTCGTTTTGTTCAGTCTTTCTGATGTATATCTTGCCTTTTTCTTTTTTTTTTTTTTTTTTTTAGGTGGTACTTTCTGGTGTAACAATTCTCTGCAGTTCTGGTATGAAGTTGGTGTATTTGTTAAAAGCAGTTTGTTCTATCCATTTTTTTTTTTGTGGTTTCCAGAAGCCCATTGGTGCATTGTACAATGGGGTCTTGTAGTGTGTCATGAGAAAGAAAAAAAAATATGCAGATATGTTATGGAGTGATTTTTATTTTCAAATGACTGTGTTGTTGACGACTATACATATAATACATATATATAATCAAGATACTAAGAAAAAAAAATCTAAATTTACCAAAATCTGTATATTTTAATAAATGCATAAAGCTTTATTGTGTGCCTTTACATTTAAAAATCAAAGAGGAACTAAGGGATTTGTAAAGAAAGCCAGAGGCAAATGTGTCTTAGAATTAGTTTCCATAGCAATGTAAACCTTTTAAATGAAAAACTAAACCAAAAAGTAATAATCAAAAAAATTCCCATGTAAATTTTGTTTAGTCAGTCAGTACCTGAAGTTCTAATATTTTTTTCAGTGCTAAATTGCAGCTAGAAATTAACAAAATCTTGCTATAAATTATTCAAAAATTCCATTTTAGACCATCCATTTCAGCAGGCTGACTTTGTTGTTTACTTGTGGTGTTGTGAGAGAAAATGGCTATCTGTTTGCACAAAAAAAAAAAAAAAAGAGAAAAAAAAAAAAGAAAAAAAAAAAAAAGGAAAAACCTAAAGCCAATGACCACAGGTTGACTATTGCAGTGCAAAGACCTGGGGTGCACCAATGTCTTCCCATCTGCTGAAACTCACCTTTCCTTGGGGGAGCTGGGGTGTCACAGCACTGTCCCCTCCCTGCAGGGGCCGTGGGGCTGTGGAGAGGCAGAAACGCCAGCTTTCATCTGATACCCAGAGCCTGGGGCAAATGACTTCTTTTTCCCCTGGAAAATAGCCTGTTTGTGGCTACTCGCCCTGGCCCACCCTGGACACCCAAGCTAGAAATTTGCAAATTTTGCTGGATTTCTCCAAAACTAAAGCTGCCAGAAACCAGGCCCCTGCAAGTGCTCAGAGCCCCAAATGCCAGCTCTCATCTGATACCCAGACCCTGGGGAAATGACTTCTTTTTCCCCTGGAAAATGTCTGTCCCCTTTGGGGTGCTCAGGGCCACCACTGTGTCCCCAAGGGCTCCTTCCTGCTGTCCCTGTTATGTGGGGATGGGGAGCCTGCCAAGTACTCTCCCCGTCATGGGCATGGGATGAAGAGCTCCAGCTGGTCCTGGTGGAGCAGGGGAGAGCTCTGCTGGGCATCAGGGACCTCCACACTGGGGTGACCACCACAGCTGACAGCCACCACCCCACACTTGGTGTTAGGAACCGTGTGGAGCAGTTTTTCGATTCAGGAGAATTGTATTTGATCCTATTTTGAGGCTTTGGGTCAGCAAATGAGCACTAAAAGCCTTCATGAGCCAACAGACTAAGAGAGCCCCACAGGGCAGCAGGAGGTTTTGGGCAAGCACAAAGCAGGTATTTCAGTTTTGATCCTTTAAAAACTAGAAAAGTTTAATGTTCTTTGTGCTTCCTCAGAACCCTTCCCCTCTGTGGTGCCAGCACTAATACCCCGTCACATTCTCAGTGCCAGCACTAATACCCCGTCACATTCTCAGCCCCGAGAGCCCCACAGGGCAGCAGGAGGTTTTGGGCAAGCACAAAGCAGGTATTTCAGTTTTGATCCTTTAAAAACTAGAAAAGTTTAATGTTCTTTGTGCTTCCTCAGAACCCTTCCCCTCTGTGGTGCCAGCACTAATACCCCATCACATTCTCAGCCCCATCTCCTCACAGCCCATGGAAGCAGATGTGCATTTTCCCTGCAGCTGCTCCGGGGTTGCTTTGCTTTGTTTGTTTTTTAATTCTCTTCCCTGAAATAAAACTTCTTCCTTCCTCTGAGCAGCGCTCCCAGGGCCTTTCCAGAGTTGGATTTGGGGTCGGATGCTGGCAACCTGTGGCTGTGGGCAGAGCACACAGAGCCCCAGCACCACTCCCTGCCAAGGATCCCCAGCACCAGGAGCATGAGGATCACGGCATGGGTGAGATTGGAAGGGACCAGCGCATCCTAACGGGGTGGGCAGAAAAAAAAAAATCCCCTAAGCGCTGCCTGGCAGGCAGAAATCACCAATTGTGAAGGAGTTCCCAATCACCTCATGCACCTCCCGCAGCACCAAAACCCTCCCCCGGGCATTCCACATAGGTGTTCCCGTGTTTTTTCCCTCCCAGTTTGCTCCAGGGCTGTTTGCAGGCAGCATTCCATGGGATTTCTGCTCCGAGGTGTCCCACTCGCAGCCGGGGTTAAGAGGGTGAAGCCGCGGGCACAATCCACAATCCCCGGGCAGCCTGCACAAGCTGGCACGTCTGTGCCCCGCTCCTCCCGGGGCAGCATCACATCAATGGCAGCACTGACAGCGTCCCCGGGCTGCACAAGAACCGCCTGTGCCCTGCCCGTGATGTCATGGGCACAAGTGTCCTGCCACCGCCCGGGGACATTGCGCAGCGATGCACGGCCCGCACAACAGAGCCGCGTTCAAGGCTGCTCGGTGTGCGGGGAAGATGCTCGGGCTGCTGCCCGTCCCTGGGCCAGGCAGGCAAAGGGTCCTCGTGGAGCACAGCCAGCCTCCCTCTGGATCCTTTTAAAGGCTGCGGCTTCCCAGGTGGAGGAGGAGAGGTGGGAGCTGCAGCATCCTTGCCCGTGGCTGCATCACTCAGTTTGGTTTCTCCAGCTGAAGCAGAGCGAGGGCAGTCCAGAATGCACGAGGCTTTACTGACAGCCCTGTTTTCCCATTTTTCATCATCCCAAGAAACTTGGTTGCTCAGACCCTTCTCCTCCTCCTGCTGCCCCTCCACTGGGGCTCTCCTCTTGCCCATGTCTGAGCAGCAGCTGTTCCTCTTTTCCTTCTCTTGGCCTACACAAATTGTTTGAACTGAGTTAACATCTCTGGGAACAGATGGGATTTTGTACCAGTGTAATTAAACTACAGCCCTTGGTAAGGACAGAGCTAGATCTTGATCTTACACAGGATTGATCAGAGCAGTGACCCCAGATCAGACCCCTACTTCAGTTGAGAGCACTCTCAGCAACATGAGGTCTCAACTTCACAGTGCTCAAGGTCATCTCCACCACTTCAGGGGCTTTCTAATTCTTTCTAATATAAAGAAACCCACTAGTGGGTACAACTGGTACAAGCTGCTACTGGGAGAATTGAAAGAACCAAAGGATAAGATAACAGACAGTCCCATGCAGGCAGATTACTCATATTTTAAATATTCTTCATTTAATGCCACAGCAGAGCAGTTTTTCATCCTGAACTGCTATAAAAAAAAAGAAAATCTTCAAAATCATTGGCAATCCCTGTCATGGAAAAACTGGCTATGGAAACACACAGGAAGGAAGGAAATAAAAAGTAGTCAGGGGTTGCAGGTACTCTGTTATTTATTGTACAGTATTTCACTGAAAGTACAAAGGCATCATCAGTACTCACCAGAATTGTATTGTAACAGGTACATTATACTGCATGTTAAAATGTGCTGCTTTAACGAGGCAAGATGGAACACAAACTTAGAGGAAGAAAGAAAGGAGTTTAAAAAAATGTAAAAATACATTTTTTAGTAACTGATCTGTACAAAAGAAAAAAGAAAAAAAAAAAAAAAAGAAACTGAACCAGAGGGCAGGGATTAGAGCCCCCAAAGTCATTTATAACTATTTAAAAAGGCACTGTTATCTACCATGTCATTAGGACCTTTGGGTTCTGTTTCCTTCATACTGATGACTGTGGGGGTGGGGGAAACACTGTTACTAAAATGATCAGACTCATACAAAAGTATTTACAGAGAAAGGCAGAAAAATCCCCTCCTCTTGTTCCAAAAGAGAAACATTTGCCCGGTGGGAGAGGACAGCCTTTCTCCCTATCCTCTCTCCACAGCCGTGCCAGACCCGTGACCTTGAGTGGGAGCAATCAAACAGTGAGGATGGGGGAGAAGCCGAGTCCTCCTAACAATGGGAAAGTGTCTCTCTCATTTCTGCTTTATTGCTTTAAACTCTCCTATTATCAGGGGAGCTAGAAGATAAACTAAAGTCCCTAAACCCCACACCACATCCCCAAACCATCCTGGCTGCAAGAAGAGAGGGCAGGTGCTCGGGACAAAACGGTGAGGACCAAGAGGTAGGGCTGGCCGGAGCTGTCTTTCTAGAGAAAGGGGGGAAGAGACGGGGAGAATAACGCTTCAAACTACCAGACTTTTGTGCTGCTTTTCTAAATCTCCCCCTGGGAGCCTGCCAGCCGCGCGTGTCAGCAGGAGCAAACCCAGGGCACACGAACCCACCAGCCAAAGCATCCGACGGCAGCCGTGGGACGTCGCCGGGGCGCCTACACGTGAGCGCTCTTGGCGTGGGTGGGCGAGCTGGATCCCGAGCCGTAGTAGAAGCGGTTCTCGCCGAAGGTCTGCGCGTCTCCCGAGCAGCAGACGATGACGCAGCCGCCGAAGAGGCAGAGGGCAGAGCCGATCCAGCCCGTGTACAGCGAGTAGCCGAAGCTCATGATGGTGGTCTCGCGGTGGGCGCACACCGGGAACCAGATGGTGGCCACGACGCCGCACATGGCTGGGGACAGGGCGGGAAGGACAGAGTTAGGGCTCTGAACCGGAGGGAGTGGCAGCAGAGTGTCTGGGGACAGAGGGGAAACTCATCCCTACTCCCTTCCAGTCCCAAGGTGGGACCCAGAAGCGGCGGCATCAGGGCGAGGTCCAGGAGATCTCCAAGCAGGAGACAACATGGAAACCTCAGGAGGAGAGAGGACAGCCATCCCTCTCAGGCACCAACAAGAAGGGAAAACAACTGCTGCCTGACACAATGTAGTATATTTATTAGAAGGGAAACAGATTTGTTCCCTCGAAATATCTTTAAGAGGGAAAAGTGAGAGTCATCCCTGAAACTGATGTTCTGGAGAACTGCAGAATTAGGAATAGATTAGATATGCAGAGGCCATGGAAACTACACGGATCAGTGAGAGAATAAAACTGTGGACCCGTGTGAACTGGTTTAAATCCCTATTTCCACATGGACTGCTGTGTCCTCAGCCTATGTCCCTCCTGTGTGAACTGGTTTAAATCCCTATTTCCACATGGACTCACATGCTGTGTCCTCAGCCCATGTCCCTCCTCATCATTGCAGTGACTCTACTGAGTGGTCACATAAACATCACCAAAATCTCCCAGCACCCTAAGGCAGAGTAGGGTTTATGAAATACGAGCAGAAAATGAGCAGGGACAAAATAAGCAGCAGTTAGGCATTGCTGGGGTTTTTTCAATGGAAAAGGAAATGTCTGGCAGCTCTGGAAAACAGACTCTAGTTCCCTGTGGAAAATTTCTATCAAGCAATGGGGACAAACCCAGCAAGGCTCTCCAGACATTTACTGAATTGAATAAAAATGGGACCTGAAGAGTCTGCAGAAAATGGGATCCTACCTAGGCACTACAGTGGGTCAAAAAATGACTGCAGGTTTCACCTTTTACTTGATATCCCATAGGGGGTTTTTCCACAAAAAGCCAGAAGGCAGCTGCAGTGGTGCTGTGAGGTGACATGTGAGGGAGACAGTCCCCAGAGAGTCCCCACATGCACCGAGGGCAACAGGAGTTGATGGTGTTAATCACCTCCCAGGAGCAGGTCCTAAAACAATACTCCTTGATGGCCTGTACATCTGAGAAGAATTAATCTGTCAATATTTACTTGCCTCTGGGACAAGCTGTGCAGGACTCCATCCTTGTGCCTATCAGAGAATCAGAGCAAAACAATAACAGGACCATGGCAGCGTTACAGATTTCCACCGACCGTGTTAAAAGGTATCTGGAGGCAGTGTCAGAAAGTTAAGGTTGCAAGAGGGAAAAAGAAAGGGGTGAGAGTAAAAATAAAATTGTTTAGTTAAAGCAGAGAACAAACCGTAGCTCCTGGCCGGTACAGCAAAAAACCCATCCCCAAAGCTGCAGTTATTGTGAGAGAAAATATTTTCTTATGGAAAAGAGAAGAACATTTGAAGGATGCTTATAAAGCCAGAAATAATTTTGGGCCTCCTCAAAGGAAGGGCCCCGCAGCTTTGGAAGGAATTTTGGAGAAGGCAGGGAGGGGACAAGAGCATTTCTCCTGCGTGTGGAGTGGTCCTGCAAACAGCTCATGAACCTCCAATGCTTTAAAACAAAAATGTATCAGTTGGGAATCCACAAAGCATTCTAATGGGCTCTGGGAACAAAGCTGCTTTGTTGTCCGAAAAAACACAATCATCTTTTCTTTCTCTGTCAGCAGTAAATATATATATATTTGTCTATAGACTATAAGAGCCTTATCTCTCCAGACCCTCCCCCACAAGACAGGACCGAAGAAAACACTTGCATTGGGGTGAGAAGAGCTCTCAGGGATGCTCACACAATGGCATCTCTTGTGCATGTGGCTCCACTACATGTAAAACCACCTTATTTTAATGCTGACGATACCAGAAAGCTGTGAAACACAAGCCAAGGGCTTTGCACGGGTTCACTTGACCTCTCTGTCCTCGGAGGCTGCCAGCTGCTGTCAGCCACCAGTGACCCCGCTGCTGAGCAAGAGGAATGCCCTGGAACAGGACTGGGCTTCATCTCTCTGCATAGATTAGGCTGGGCTGTAAATCCTCCGAGGGGATGGGAAAAGGACAGTCAGCAATTGCAATGTCTCTCTGCGGGCTCAGATTTTATTCTGGTTGTACCAAAGAGAAAGGTTGAAAAAAAAAAAAAAAAGATGATTTGACAGGAAACCCAAAGAGATGGAAAAGGAGTTTTAGGGCAAGTTTCAAGTCCTAAAATGGCTGCCCATGTGGAAAAGAAGTGTAGATAGAAGTTTTTATCCCTTCTCTTGTGCTAATGTTGGGACACCCTTTGCCTCTCTCTAAACAAGAAATCTTCAGACAGTAGAGCTGCCGTAGCCAATATAGTCCAGCAGGAAAATAAAAGAAGATCTGCAAAAAGAAGGAATATTTCCTATTAGAGCAACCAATTTAGCTGGGAAAACAGGCCTGTTTTGGGGCACACATGTGGAAATCCTGCCTGCTTTTTACAGCTGGAGTAGGCAATCTTGTAAAAGCCACTGCCTCTACCTAAAAAATCCTCTCAGCACTGCATGGCATGAATGTCCTTGCTCCATCAGATTGCTGTGAATCCACAGGGATACATCCCAGCTCTCAGTGTTTCCAAGACTTTTTTCACTGTGGATTTGCAGTAGCTCAGTCTGCTGAGCTGAAACCCTCAATACTCAGCATTATAGATGTGTTGGAGTCAGAAGGACGTGCACAGAGACAAGAAGCACAGAAGGTGCTTGGGGAGCTGGGAGAGAGGGAACAGGATTGTTCTAACTCAGGGGACAGTGAGTCCCTGCCAAATTTCTTAACAGTAAGTTAAAGGCTTTTTGCAGAAGAAAGAATACTTTTCTTTCACATCTAAATTTAACTATTCCAAATTGCTGACTCAAAGTCACATGGATTTCTCTTTCAAAGCATTTAGCTGAAAAAAATAGATACCATATTTTTTTTCTGTGTTCAAGGCAATCTCTTTATCTTGATATCTATGGCTTTACAAGTAAACCTCATGCAGTCTTCAGAAAAACTCATTAAGATCCTTTATTTAGTACACAATGGCTTATTTTGTAGCAGCAATTCCCACTTACATATATTTAATCTATTTTCCAGTGTCTGAGTCCTTCTCCTCCATTGGGAAAATGCCCCCTTGGTTACCAGCAAGGGGTCCTCCAAATCAGTGTCAACAACATGGGCTGGGCCAGGGTTTTTCCATCAACACCAACATGTGAAATGTTTTCACACCAGCTCAGAGCAAACCTCTGCTGACGGTTGTTTTCAGCCATAAATCAATTCTCTCAGATAGGATCAAACAGAGCCATAAACACATCAGCAGCAGAATAGCAGGGCGTGCACACAGGTTGCACTCTGGCAGCCTGTGATTATCAGTGGACAGAAAAATCAATGGAATATCTGAGCCCATTGTTTTCCTGGCAACTTTTCAGATTTTTATATTTTTGTTTTGGTTTTTTTTTTTTTTCTCTCTCTCTCTTTTTTGGCTCCAAGCTGTGTTTCAGTCCCTGTTTTCCCTTATACCAAATCTCAGTGACAAACTGCCATCCCTTCCCTGAGCAGCAAGTGAAGTTTGCTTTGGGGCCAGCTCCCCTGTTTGCATCCCCACTCCCTATTTCTGCTGCATTAGGGAGTGTTTTAGGGGTCCTTTTCTTTTAACCAGAGCTCTGGGTGTTGCTCTCCCCTAAGAGGAAAATTCTGGAGCCTGTGAGGTTGTGGAAACCATGAGTGAGAGTTCAGTGGCTGAAGAGTGAATAAAAACAGTCCAGGGCATGTTACTTCTAGAATATAATGGATTTTAACTCAGCATTGTATCTTTCAGAGCCTGATCCATGCTTGTTAAATGCTCTGGAATGGTGACACCTCATCTTGCATCTAACAGATCATTAATCAGCTTAAATAATGTCAAAGTCCTAAACTCTGTACATTATTCTTCTTCCAAAGGGACTGTCTTGCTGATGAGCCTGGGAAAAAATGGGCTTTGTAAATATAAATGTGGATTGGCTTCCTCCTTTTTTTTTTTTTTTTTTTTTTTTTTTTTTTTTTTTTTTTTAAAGCAACCTAGGAGCAAAAGAAGCTTATTTATTCTTCATTTGTGATCTGACAAAAAGAGCATTATTGTAATTGTGACTAAAATATTGTGACCAGGCTGCTGATCCCAGCCCAGATCATTCAGGGCATGAGGAACACCAGTAAATCATTACCTGTAGGTGCTTCAGAGCTCACAGCAGTGACAATCAATAAGATGTGGTCCAAATCTGACCCAAGATAATTTGTCTGCCAATGTCTCTGTGACACAAATGTGAGAGATGTGATCTCTCACACTTCCTTTCCTCACAGGATCTGCCTAGTTGGAAAGCCAAGTTCTGAGGCAGAGGGGAACCTGGTTTATGGAGCACCACAACTCTCCATCATTCCCTCACATTCCCTGGTGTCCCACTGCAGCGTGACTGGGGTGGGATCGTGGCACACCAGACACCAAACCCTGGTGGGACACTGCAGCATAAAGCATTTCACTTGTTCTAACACACTGGTACCCAACACTGTCACTGCAGTTTGTCATCTCTGAGCTGGTCCTGTCATCCTCTTGCCCTTTGGGATTTTTAGGGACAATCCTCCTGCCTCCACACCTGCAGCCATGCAAGCAGGCTGACCTGCAGTATAGTTCTCCTTGACTGGAACCAAAATCTTGTGGCTTTTGTGGCAAAGTGCAGCTCTGCTGGACAGGGCAAATCCACCAGAGCAGACTACTCTGGCACTAAAATTTCATTCACAGGCAGAAAACCTCCATCTTTTCTTTCACTTCTCCAAGCCCAAATGCATGACTCAAGGTTCCAGAGCAGGGGTGAAGATCACGTTCCAGCATGGCTGTCCATGATTGGGATATCCTAGACCAGCCCTATAAAGCTGATATTAAGACTTCCAGCTCTGCTCTTAAACTCCACAGGCACCTATAGGACCCCTTGGACCCAATCCCTCAGATTTGACATGTATGGACTTGTGCTAACCACAAGGTGATGGAGGAGGACTGACTTGCTGCAAGGAGCATCCAGAGGACAGCCCTTCTAAGCATGCAGCAATATTCAGGGCCCACTTTGAAAAAAAAAGAAGAAGAAGAAGAAAGAAGACGGGCATGATGTCAGTGCTGGCTGCCAGCGAGCAGCAGAGCCACACAAAGAGGTCGCTTTGCCTCTCCCCTCCTCCTCTGCCACAGACGGGTGAAAACAAGGCCCCGCAGGCTGTTGCTGAGATGACGAGGCCTCAAGAACATGCAGGTGTGGCATGGGGGACAATGAGCTCCACAGTCTGTGCTGCTCAAAACAATCTCCTCCACAAGCACCGAGGACGGGAAGAAATTCCCAGGGGAGCTTGGGGACCGAGGGCGAGGCTGGCCAGAGGGGGCTGGGAGGCACAGAGGGCATGCCAGTCCTCTCCCCGTGCCAGCGCCATCCCTCTTCCCATGTCCGTGCCACCTCCATGCTCCTTTCCCTGTAGGTGCCTCAGGACCAGCCCCATTCAGTAAGGGCTTCCCTTCCCACATGCCTCAGCTTACTTGCCCTGCATGTCCAGGGAAAATTTGGAGGCTCTGCCTTCCCTATAAGCAGCTTGGAAGTTTAGACCCTTTCCCAAAATCACCTCCACAGTGAACCAGCACGATCCGTGCCTGCAGGCACTGCCCGTGTGCGATGGCCTTCCAAGAAAAGCCGTGACCGAGGACCCCACGAGGCAAAGACAGAGGGATTCACAGCCCTCCCTCTAACCCTGCTTCATCCCTGCCTCCTCTCCTTGTCCTCCCACTCCTGTCCCTGCCTTTTGTCCACCCACAAATGCTGGAGAGCTCCAGGGCCAGCCCTGCACAAACCCTTCGAGAAGAACACGCTCCAGCAGGCTGCACGGTCCGGGAGCAGGGATGGGCTGCAGCCCCCCAGCTGGGGCAGGTGCCTTACCCAGGAGGATGATGAGGATCCCTCCCAGCTGGGAGCGCCGGTACTTGGCTGCCCCGGGCTCGTGGCCCATGCGGATGCAGGGCAGGACCGTGATCAGCAGGAAGATGGCGGGAAGGCCCAGGACGGAGGCGGCGATCATCAGCGCTCGACATGCTTGGACGTACCCTGTGGGCAAGGCAAAAGAGGAGGGTTTTGTTATTTGGCACAAGAAAAGGAGGCTTTGGACTACAGCTCCTGTTTGGTTAGAGCCCAAGAGATGCACGGAGTACGGGAAATGGGTTCATTCTTGTGTAAACATTAAATCTGCACCAGGCACGGGGCAGTGAGGCTGCGGGGCAGTGGGGAGTGCGTGGACACGGGATGTGCAGGCTCACAGATTCCCAACAAACAAACAGCACTGCCTGGAAAACACAAGCTCTTCCCAGAGACACTGAGAAATCATGGAGCTGGAAAATATGGGAAGGGAAAGTAGGAGAAATTTTCTCTAGGAAGGGGTTTCCCTATATTTTTTCGTAGCAAGAGTTTGATTAAAAACCAAGACTTTTAAATCTTCAAAATTAAATAACAGTAATGTAAAACCTCAAAGACTCTCCTATCATTCAGAGGGCTGAATAGTTGTAGATCCACTGCTGGCACTGCAGGTCCATGGGATGCTGCCAGCAGCTGCCCCGAGGCAATGAGCACTGTTGACCTGGGAGGAGGAGGAGGAGGAGGAGGAGGAGGAGGGATACTCCTCACCCACAGCCACACCTCAGCCCTGCACCCCAGGAGCTCCCATTCCTCTCTTCCTGTCCCTGTGCACAAGGCAGCAGAAAACAACAAGAACCAGGGGCTGTGGGGGTGCTGGGCAGGACCATCACATTTCTGCCACTCTGGGAGGGTCTATGTATCACAATATATGATTTTAAAAATATTTATCTACTATATGTATATCTAAATTTTAAAATATATAATTTATATGTAATGTATATATACTATACAAAAATTGCATGTAAGTAAATTATACCAGGTCATTATTGGCATGCAAAAGGAAAAGGACAAATGTCAGATTTGCTCCAGTGCCTAGTGGCCTCCCCCAGTTTTCAGGACAGTCTCAGCACAGTGAGTGTGCTGGCTCTCTGTCCCCTCTTATTAACAAAAAGGAGCTGTCAGATGCAGACATGGAATTCCAAGATGCTTCAACCAACACCAGCAAAGAGGGGCCTTGAGTATATCCCACTGACACACAGGTACAACACCAGGAATGAGAATTTTACTGTTTCTGGAAATGCAGACTCTGTGTGTATTGAATATTTCCTTGATTTTTTTTTCAGGAGGAAACTTTAAAGAAAATTATTACCTGAGTTCAGAGCATAAAAGCAGACCCTAAACAAATGAGATGGCTGTACCCAGTGTGGATTCTGTGCAACCAATCCCAAGTAATGAGAATACAAACAATTCATTTTAAATACTTGACTCAGACAAAGAAAGGCTCTAAATATATTTTTGATACTGGGTACACCAGGATAAATTTCCCTCATGCCAAGCTGTGGGCATCAAACAGGCTACAAGCAGAAACATCTTGGTTTGTGATTTGCTTCTGCTTGAGGGAAGCTTTGCTCTCTGCTACTGCAAGACCCATTCACAATAAGTTGCATTCACTAATGTTTCTTTGGGGCAAAACCTTCCTCTGCCTTCTCTGCTGGATCAGATTTAACAGCAGCAGCAGTAAGGAAGGCAAACTTACTAAAATAAAAGTAAGCACACACAGAGAAAGGGAGAATGAGAGACTCAACATTCCTAAGTGCTGTGTGCCACAGACCAAGCTCTGCAACAGAGAGACATTCAGGAATTATCTTTTTCACCTCTTGTAAAATTATCTTCACAACAATTTAAACCAGCAAATAAGAAAACATGAAAGCAAATGACAAGGAATGGTCATTTCTGCCCTGTCAGCTTTGAGAGAGGCACCTTTGACACGGTAGAGGAGTTGCAATCTAAAACACAGCAGAATGAAGTGCTGCAGAGTTAACAGTGGTTGAAACTGGCAAGATCACAAACCAAACTTACAGGGACCAGACCTCACAAGACTTTGGCAGGTTTAATTAGCCCAAAAGATGTATTAATGCTGATTAAACACCTTGCTTAATTTTTGCTTTTCAGTAAACTAGATGAAAGTTACTATATCATTAAAAAATATCAAGTTAAATGTAGTTACATCAGTTTGCTGTGTAAAAGTTCTGTCTTGCCTCAGAACCTTTGGGAAGCACAAGACCATCAAGACTAATGATGATCTTCTGAAAGATTAAAAGCCGTAGCAGTATTAATAATAGATGTTGAAAGATTCATTACACTCCAAATCACTTTAAGGAATCAAACATTAACATTTGTAATAGTTCACCCTCCCCTTGAAATGCTCTATTACACCTCAGTGTGCTCTGTGTGTTTTGCAGGGCAATCCAGACACAAGATGTGAGAGGAGCAGTGAGATTTTAACTGAGAGCAATGATTAAACATTAACAGAATTTTAGCAGCCACAGAAAACCTGGGCACGATTAAAACCAGGTGTAAATCAATGAGAATCATGTTAAGAGCTATCATTCACCTTCTTTAGTGCATTTAATGGACCACGTCCTGTGCTGATGAAGCTGGAGGAGCTTCACCATCACCTCCTGCGGCAGCAGCACCTTGCTCTGGGCAAGGCTTCATCCCTCACTCGGGGTGGGAAGGGGAGGATGGGACACACTCACCTGGCAGTATCAGGATGTCCACGAGGGGCTTGCAGTGATAGAGACCTGTTGCCATGACGCAGTCTGCCCACAGCCCCTTGGATCCCAGCTCATCCATTTTCCTGCAGGTGGTGATGGTGTAGCCGCAAGTCACCACCCAGTCGTTGGTGGCCGTGGCCACAACCACCCCGATCCACCCGACAAAGCTGCAGACAAATCCGGCCAGGTGCAGGCAGGTGGCCACCATCTCCGTCCTTGCGTGGGGACAGCTGGACAGGACAGTGCCCTCGGGGTCAGCGGAGCCGCCCGGCGAGTCCCGGCTGCTGGAGCGGGAGGATGGGGATGGGCAGGAGCAGGTCCCTGGTCAGGCTCTGCTCAAACACTGAGCTGCCTCTGCCCAGCTCCCTCCCTGGGAGGGGTCAGAGCTGCCTCCAGCCCCACAGCGCAGGGGAGGAGCGAGCGGGGAGCCCCAACTTCTGCCGGAGCATCCGCAGGCAAGGAGGGAGTGCAGAGGAGGAGATGCACCATCTCCTCTGGAAAACAAACCGGGGGGGTTTACTCAAATGCAAACAAACAGCCCGACTGTTTATTAGGGAGGGAGAAAGATTATGGCAGTGCTTGCCGGCTGAACTTTAATAGTCGCGCTGGTGCATCTTCATGGAAAGGTAAGGGAGAAATGTGGTGGACAGAGTTACTCAAGAGGTGGAATTATCACCTCATCAAAGCCATCAGCACAGCTGCTGTAAAGGGCCAAAATCAGTCTTGGGTCTTTCCTGATGTTTCCAGCAATTGTAAAAATATAAAAGACCCACCACTGCTTTCTCTGCTGTGCCTGGGCTTTCAGAGCTATTAACTAACACTCACTGAGTGTTAAATACGTGTTTAACAGCACCGTAGTCGCACTTTTGAATCCTCAAATTGAAACGAGCAGCTTTTAACTCAGACTTTTAGTCCGAGTAAATTTGCTATACAAATTTTAGTACATTTGATAAAACAGGAGCAGCCCACTTCAAAACACCAGAGGTGGAGAAAAACTTCCCATCTTCCCGTTCTGCACCGGGAGAAACAGGCAGGCAGGACATTTTCCGAGCTTCGCTCTGTATTTTCACGGCACATATGTGTGTTCTCGTGTGCCAGCACACCCCTGAGGATATTTCCTTGCTGTGTGCTCTCCTCCAGCGCTGCCGGTTTTGGGAAGGGAAGGTTTGGAGCAGGCAATGCCGCATGCCTGGAGAGACCACTAGCGGAGAGCTGCCTGCGGTGCACGGGCAGGAGCAGGGACAAGTGACACAACAATGAATTTCATTCACTCCTAGAGCTGTCAGTGAGAAAGAAACGCTGGAAACGCCACTCCGAGTTTAAAGTGCTAGGAATTCAATACATCCTGCTCATCACCCAAGGGTATTTTTTGCCGTTCTTTGACAACTAAGAAGAAAAAGAGCATCCTAACTATAATTTGTCACCTGCTCCTTAGATCCAAAATTCAAGGACATGAGGTCACAGTTTTCTGTCAAAGCCTCATCTGAACTCTACTCTACTCTTGAAAAAGAGCTTTCAACTCTACTGGTAGTGCTCTACTGGAGCACTACCAGTAGAGTTGAAAGCTCTTTTTCAAGAGAAGATAATTCTAATAAATATAAATTTCATAGTTGTTTTCGCATTTGTTTTATATTGTTGGTTACTTCTTAGGGTTTTTCTATACCTGGTTTATGGTATTTCTGTGAAGCCAAACTGCCAGCTGGCCTTCCATGAAATTTCCTGATGTCATTCCACCTTCCTGCATAGCCTATCCTCCTACTGCACCCACCTCAGGTGGAGTGTGCTGTCACTGACATCCAAACACCAATTTATGTTGTCTAGGGCTCAATTCGAGATGGATTTAATCTTCCCCTAAAAACCATTCCTTCTTATTTATTATTCAGGAGATAAACTTGCAATCTTTTGGGTGAAAGTGGTGTTGTTCCACTTCTTGGACTGAGCAATTGCATTGGACAGACCATGGACACCTCCTGAATTCAAAAGGAGATGAGAGATTTCACCCCAAAGCTGAGGTTTGGAATAATTTTACACTGTGATAGTGCAGGCACATCCTAATGCACAATATACGTATTTTTTAAATGCTGAAGGCATTCATTGGTCCATACATCCTTCTGTAATTCAGTCTACTACATTTTTGGTTTCCTTAACCACAAAAGCTTCTTAACTCCATGTTTTCCTTCACAAACGTATTTATCAAGGAGTGTGCAGGAGCAAGGAGTAACATTTGACACTTTGGTAACCAGCACTGTTCAACAGAACTCGAGCTGGTGCCCACAGGGCACAGTGTGAATTATTTCATTAATGTCAATAGAGACAGGAGGCATTTACCATTTTGTCAGTGTTATAAATCACACCACCAACAGTTAAGTGAATATAAGTTCACACAAGGCAAGTGGACAATGATTTACAAGATCAATAAAAGAAGGAACAAGAAGGGCTTGCCAGCAATATGCCAAATAAACTGATACACTTTGGGCAATAGTCTCAAAAGCTGCCTTTTTAAAAGCAAGTGCTACACAAGCATTTATTCCAGCAACAGGGTGAGCTCCTTAAAAATCAATTTTTTTACCCTTCACTCCCAGAGTTTTCCCCTGATCTGCATTGTTCTCTCTGACAAAAGACAGGCATTGCAATTAGTCAAAGCTATCCAAGCTATCAACACCCCAGGGCCTTCTCATCCAAATGACTCACCTTGAACTTTTTCTTTACATTTTCAGCCTCATTGTTTCTTCCCTGTTTGGAAATACAGCAGTATACAAAAGCAAGACGGGATGCAGAAATAAACAAGTTTAAGTGGTACAGTCAGTTCTTAATTTCGTTCTATACCAAAGGCTGAGCTCTTCATTGTAATTTTCATCTTTATCCTGGTTCATACTGCTCCTTTCTCTCTTTATCTGTAAAATACAGGTTTGCAATTATCTGAAACATCATCACGATTTCCTGTATGGGAGAGCAGGTCCTTAATACAAGGACAAAGTATTTTTGCAGTGATTTGAGAGGAAGAATAAATGCCAAAGGTGTGTGAATGTGCTTTCTTATGCATCAAGACAATCTTCTCAATATGAATAAAATCCCCCAGAAATTCTCCAAAATATTATTTGTAGCAAAAGTTAAGGTAATATAATTACATGGTTTACAAAAAATAAGAACTCCTGAGAGTAACTATTTTTTTTTTCAGTAAATAGAGTAAAATTCTCATTTCTGATTTTAACTTTGGATAATCTCAGCATTTGTTCTGGCAATGTGTGTTTTTAATCTCATTTATTATTGAGCTACGGAAGAGAGTTGTGCATAACTCACACATTGCTTGAGCAGTCAAGCAGCAACAAAGTTGGGCACCAGAGAACTTGCCAAGCATGCAAGGAGTTCTATTTTCAGGTATAAACACCAAATTTATGGCAAGATACATAGAAAACTTGGTGCCAATGCCTTTACAGAATCTTAAGAGCTTTAGAAAGCGGATCCACAGGGAGGGACAGCTTTGAGCTTGTCAATTTTGCTTAAAATACCTTTTAGAGAACTGGGGACCTGCTGCAGGCTGTGGGAGCTCTGCTAACAAGTTTTGTTGTAATCAGATTTTAATTTACTGTAATCAAGGCAAGGAAGGCTCTGTTCTTAGAAAAGCATTGAGTTAAACACCTTCAAAGAGCCAAGTTTAGAAGTCAGTGTTCAAAAATACGACAGAGACAAGTGTTCTGACATTACAGTTCTTTATTTGTTTTTGAGTCCACGATCTATACAGGTATTTACAAGGCATGGAAATGGATAACAGCACAAAATACAATTGAGGTATAAGCTAAGAGCACAGTATGTCATGTTTCAATAAATATAATTCAAAATTTGTAAACTAAGTGACCAGATAGATGCATCTTGTCTACTAAAACCATATAAAATATCTGTTAAATCTCACGTGAGGTAGAGGACAGTTTTGTGTGTCATGTGATGCAACCACAGCAACGCTGACAATAAGACTGTACATCATTGGCAAAGTATTAAAAATTGTTGAATGCACTGGTCGTTTTTCACAGGCCTTTCCTATGGTTTCAGAATTGTCACTCAACCTGTTGCCTTGAGCTAACACGGACTCAGCTGTTTTGCAGCTACTTTCTGTCATTTGAGAGAATTACACTGGCATGTCAACAGCAATAAATACTTTAGAGAGTGAGGATGAAAACACAAAAAAATGTTCTGTCAATCACAGAAAGCAACGTGATGGCAACGAAATATTTCAGACCAACTTTTTATTATTTCCTAGAATTCGTTTAAATACAGTACAGCTGTGCTTTCCTTTAAGTGAGGTATCTCTTAGAAGAAAAAAAATTCAATTGATATCGTTACACTTAATTAATTTTCAAATAGCAAAATTTTATACCGTGTTTGCTGTGCTTGATGAAGTGCTTAAAACTCATTTTTCAAGCATTTTTCAACTGAGCCACTAACCCTGAAAAAAACAATTTGCTAAGTAATGGAGACACACTATAAAATCGTCGTGCAATTCGTAGGCAATAACTGCTTTCACAAAAGCTAAAAAATGACTGCATTTTTTAAATAGATATATGCAGCAAATAGAAAATTCTACAAGCTTTCTGTAAAGAAAACCAATGAACACTCACACTACAAATGTAATGAGCAAAAAGAAAACTGAAATTTGCAGCTTTCTGCTGCTTACTATCAATGGCTTAAATAAAATTACCAAAATATTGCAAGCACAGATTAATAGGTAGGAGAAATCATCTTTTGTAGACTTCACCATGTTATAGAAAACTCTGTTGTGTGGATTAATTACACGAATTAAGTGCAGAAAAAATACAAAGTTGTTATCTTTACTGACAATCAAAATATATACTCTACAAACAAGTGAAGTCCAGGAAGCTGACCACGACACCATTTCGAGGCCAACTTCCCAACTAATGCTAGGAAAGGTTTCCAAAAATTTCATAACACATTCTAGCTATCCCCTCCCCCAGTACAAAACAAGAATGTATGAATAAAACATTGTGACTTCTAAAATACAGGCCAAGACTTATTTCTTTTCAGGCCACCAGTAGCTTTATGCTCCCACCCAACTTTTCCTACATCACTAATTGCATTATGCCTTTACTATGTACAGATGGTTTTACACCTAAGCTATCAATATATTAAATATAGAATAAAATTAGTTTAAGAATGTGAAACATAACTACATTCATCTAAATACTCCAACTGAACGATATGCTTTACAAAAACTAAACCACAGACTTAAGTAAATTTGGAGATTTAGATAAAATCTCTTTCATTGAGGGACACCTGGCTACACTGTGAGTGAGGTGTTTCCAGACTGCCAAAATTACAAGAGTTTTACCCTTTAAGCTCTCATATTT